TGTTCGACAAGACGCCATGCTCTTCGAAATGCGATTGGAGTCGAGCGATTCTGTATTGTAGGGATCCCAAGGAACTACATGGACGGATTCGAACAATGAAGGTCAGGTTGGTAATTTAAGTCGAGAAAATTGAGAATGTCCTGATCTAGGACTCGCAGAATGCGAAGAAATGGACGCCGTGCTCCATGTCAGCAACCGAACAGAAGTTCTCAATCTCGTAGGGCAGGCACAGGTTCTCAATCCAGAAATGAAGAGGCTCGAAAAGCTGCACGCAGTGCTTGATCCTGAGGATAACCACTCATTTACCACTCCTAGTCTAGCGATTACACCTTTAAGACGTTTTTCACGACGATTCACAGTAAAAACGTACAGTCCACACACGGTAAAGTGAAGACGTGTGGAATCACAGTTTTCAAATACAGGGCGCGCAAGGGGTTCACTCTGGCTCACAGTGACAAGGATAGACATAGTCACAGAGTTCATATAATGCAGTAGCCTACGCCCGGAGGGCAAGCGATTCACCCCTGTGATAAAAATCTGCGGTTATCAATTGACGCGTCTTCAACCCACATCCGTCTTGAGCTTCTTCTCTGATGCGCGGACATGTTTTCACTGCTGAGCAAAGGACTGTCATCGCGTATGTGATTCCTTCAAGATTACAGCTGATTCCCTCGAAACTGGGATACTTGGTTGCAGGGCAGTCTTAGCTCCAAAAGACGGGCGAGGAACGAGCAACGGTAAACTCTGCAAAAATAATAGCAGATGACGAGACTCTGCACATTCGAGTAGACAGGAGCAGATGAATTTTTAGGCCAAAGGCCGAGGAACGTCTGTAGTCAAATGAGGCCGTTTCGAAGACATTCGAATGGACGATCGAAAGAAAAAAGGACTGGGTGCGACGCCCTTTGATAACAGATGCTGAGCAACTACCGGAATAGCAACAAGTTGCCTGCAAGCACTTTTGAACAAACTAGCAACTGAGTCTGAATTGCTCCAAAGGTTCCAGGAAACGCTGCAATGAGGGATCGTTCATTATCTCCCATATCGTGCGGTCGCACTTTCGAAAAACGCAAGTGTATCAAGGATTGGTTTCGACGTTTCGGCACACCAGAAAGACGCTCGATGTACTTCATAGGGAACCTACTTTGCTCTCGAAATTTGGTGACATTCTCTTCTGCTTCCGAATAGGCGATGCCGCTGCTGCCAGAGACGTTGAGGAGGCCCTCCTTTAAGCACAACTTCATATGCATGACTGGGATGCCACTAGATTTTTATGGATGAAGGATACAAGCGAGCCTCTTTATCAGGACAACCTCAACATTTATCATTTCAGTCGCGTAACGTTCGGACTAATTTGTTCTACAGAGACGCTGCGATGTATTCAGCTCGCAAACATTAACTATAATATATATAATGTATTTTTCTTTTTTCCTCTCTTTTCTCCTTTAGAAGTCTACAACCACGATGACTGCTGAAGAAGAATACCAGATTCACATTCACGTTCGTATTTGTTGACAGTTTTACCAGGAAACACATAATTGGATCCGACGTTGTGGATTACATCTGGAGGGAAGAATAGCATGCAGTTTTCACTGTTGAGGGATTTTTGATACCTGTTAACCAGAAAATCTAGACCTCTCGTTGATCGAGCCTTTCGATGTGCGACGCAGCAGGGTAACTCAAAGAGTGATAGAGACTGGTTCGAGAATCAGCTGAATGGAGATGAATTATCTAGTTTGGGGCTCCTAACGGGTTGTGATGGCGAAGGTGCTGGCTTGTTCGTCGATGTAATCTATTGGCTGCTGAAGGGAACGGACCCTAGGATTCACTGTGGGTCCTAGGATTCACTTGCCCTACGTGTCCATTTAGCGGTAGGCCTACCCAGCATAATCATGTCAGCGTGGCCCAATGTGCAAGGAAAACGGTATCGTAGGCTCTTTCCGCTAATGCGAACCAAATGTGACTCTTGAATTTCAATGACCAAGAATGAAGTATGAATTGGTTAGATAAAAAACTGGAAATTTTCCCAGACTAACAGGTATCAAGAATACGTCAACGGCGGAACTGAATGCTACTCATCCCTTCACTCATGAAGTAACGTTGGATCTACAGTGCGCCTCCAAATGATACAGCCACCTCTGATTCTCCCAAAAACTCACAGTATACGATGTTTCTGAAAAAATGCCAGAGTAAAAAGTGTGTCGAATTCGAATTGCAATTCGCACATTATCACCAAGTTCCATCTCGAAACACAAACATTTTTTCAATTTCTGGTCAATTTTTCAATAAAGGGTGCTTTTCCAACGTCGCCAAATGATACAGCCAGTAACAAAGTAAGTTATTTAACAATAAACATACAACAAGGAGAGAAGGTTGCAAAGTCAATAATCAGCGGATCACCATTCTTCCGAATTGCTTTGATGATACGGTGGTCTAGGTTCGAATAAGAAGTTATCGGTCAGCTCCCGGGCAACTTGGTGCCATGCTTTGATAATCGCTTTTCTCAACTCCTTGACGCCTCGGAGCTGCTTGTTTTGGGCGTAAATCTTCCGCACAATGAAGCCCCATACATTTTTCATCAAATTCCCACTGGAGCTGTTCGCCGGTCAAAGCAGAAGTGCCGAGAGAACTAAGCTTAGGTGCTCCTGCTGACGTAAATTGGAGCGTTATCTTGCATAAAAACAAGATTTCGGTGCAGATTCTGACGCTAAGAAGGTAGAAGTGCACGGCGCATAATAAGTAGACAAAAGGATGAGCTCATCTCCTTTGATACAAATCATAAACTGGTAAGCCTACTCGATGGAATTGCGGCCAAAACCATTACTCTCATCCATTGAAGTTGCGTCTGGAAAACTGGAGTTTCTTTTTTCTCAGATCGTGCCAGTGAAATCGGTTCTCATCTGAACCATCATAGTTGCGGAAAAACCGACTTGAAAACAAAAATTATCAAGAGAAGGAAGGTAAAATGTCAGCACATGAAGAACACTTTATTCCACTCAGTTCGGCTGCACCGTCTATCGAAAGCGACCCGATCTCCTCGATGTCTTTTTGTCATAAAAGACGCTTTACGCATTTTCCGCTAGAAAATGAACTTGGACCTTCTGATCACCTTCCAAACAATGCTTTTTGAGACAGAAGCGGCCGGATTTCCATACAGGACGTGGTGGAGTTCGACGATTCCCTCTGAGTACGGCGCTTGTCTGTGTCGAAAAGCGGCGAAGGACGCCCAGCCCTTCTTCTGCTTTATCATAGGCTTCAGGACTTTGACGGAATTATCCAAAACTGCGTGACATCGACCCAACGTCGACCCACTTCTGCGATTTGACAGTGCCTGCTCCTTTTTCGCCCGGATTTGACCTCACTCAAGTTCCGAACGCAAACTTCTCTTCCCATTGCCTGAAAATCAAGAACATTAAATAATCGAGGCAATTTCATTGCGCTGAATTGAAAAACGACACGAAGACATGAAGTGAGTGTATCATTCGGCGACGTTGGAAAAGCACCCTTAACTGAAAAATTGACCGAAAAAAATGTTTGTGTGTTCGAGCTAGAAATTTGTGATAATGTGCGAATTGCAATCCAAATTTGACACATTTTTTACTTTGACAGTTTTTCAAAAACATCAGTTGAGTTTTTGGGGAAATTAGGGCTGGCTGTATCATTTGGAGACGCACTGTAGTTACGTGTTTCCTGGTAAAACTGTCAACAAGTTTGAATGTGTGTGTGGAGCTGGTATTCTTCCTCAAAGCCAATTTTCTAATCGTCGTTGTAGTTTTGAAGGGGAAAAGTGAAGGGAGAAGAAAAACACATTACATAAAGTTATATATATTATGTATACAACACAATATTAGCAGCATCATTTGATGCATATATTGTCAATCCATCACGCAATTTGTGCATAAGATTTAATGCATAGTTCTAATGGAAAAAACAAATTCAACGTCTTCAAAAAATGATTTATAAAGGGCTGCAAAGAGACTGCGATGTGTTCACTTCGCAAACATTCTAAGCAGCCAGGAATGCTTCTAGTCTTTGGCGTTCTGCTGTTGACGTCGTCTGTGCTGAGTGAGAATGACAACATCGACTCAATCTATAAAGCGATTAAGGATATCACTGGACTTGACCGAAGTTATTTCACGAAAATAAACGAGTACATTGCTGCCGTGCAACATGGAAAGCAGGTTTTGACTTTTATTTGTTATCGTGAACTTATCAGTTTTTTTTTCAGCAAAGATTGATTTCAGCTGCGTAGATTCTGCATCATTCTAAGCTCAAAGTAAGACAGGAATTTTTTCTTAGGTTACAAACTCGTAAACCATCTCCAATATTTTACCAGCTTTTTTGATGTTCATATTATTCGGGATATCTCGAACAGAAAAATCGATTCCTGAAACGTGCTTGAACAGCGAAACTGCTCGACCGAAGAAGTTTTCTACGAGAGATCTACACTTTTACTTTGCTCCAAAAATGTGAATACTGTTTCATGTTAGCCATCTTCAGCCCACTGCTTCGATCCTGGTAAGGGTAAGGGTCAGAAGCCAGTACATCACAGTCTTTAAGCATAAAGGAAAGCCCTCCAAAGAAAATCTCAGCATAAATACTCACTATGTACAGCTTCACCATTCTAGTACAAGAGGGATCTAGACGCGTGGAACAGAATTGAAGTTGTGCGAGCAGCAGGGCTACGTACGCTCCAAATGATTCACGGTTCTACAGTTCTTTCAAGCTTGTAGAATTCTGCAGCACTAACAACTCCCACAACAACTCCAGCGGACAGGGCTGCAGGCAAAACATCAAATTCATATAAACTCTGAAATAAATGCCAAATAAAGGGACTGGAAAATTTTTTCTGTTCCTACCGAGGACCAAATTAAAAGTGAAAAGTTTGGCATTCGTCGCACTGGGTGCACATATTTTGTTCTGAATTATAATATATCGAAAAAATCATAGTTGAAGGCTATTATAAACTCATACGAAAACTTTTATCAACACCTATTCAGGTCAAACTCGATAGCGCCATTCAAAAGAAAGAACGTGATTTCCTGAAAGCTCTGAATTCTCTACCACTTGATGCGAGCCGTTTCATACTCTCGGTTTGCTTTTCTTTTCGTATTTTGTTTCATTTTTCGAATTTATTCTCTACTTCTTTGTTCTTTCTACCGCTTCTTTATGTCCCTCCCTCGCCGTGAGAAAGAGGCAAGAGCTGAAATACGATAAAGTTGTGAGCTTTTCACGTTGAGAGGTCCGCATCGCCCTCGATGGATAGGTAACTGTTTGAGAGGGATCAAGGAGAAACCTGTTTCTGTTCAGTTGTTTGAGGCACCACACTCTGGTTTCATCAAAGCAATTGACGTTTTCGTAAGCACGAGGAAGATTAGTTCTGTACTCGAGTGGTTCACGACAATGCCATCTTCATAACTATGCAGGTGGTGATAGTGAGGTAATCAGATTAGCGTACATATACCCTGCTACTCCGCCTTTTTCGACTTGGAGACAGCATTTGGCCTACCGCTACTACTTCCATGGAAATCGCCTTGAAAAGGGAGCATACCAGAGCACCTGTTCTCTCTGGTCATAGACATTTATGATGGAATCATACCACACCTAACCAAGGAAGACTCCAGAGCAGTAATGCAGAGAACTCGTAGATGTAGAGAATGGGAAACAGTGAATGAGTGGGAACTCGAAGCTCAACAGACTGTTGGAGAAAAATTGGTGGGGTGTTATAAATGTTAAAAAGGACCTCTCTGGAGCCAACATGAGTGACTGGAGGAAGGACAAAGCGTTTGGTGTCTTTGCTCCCTGCGGTGGACTGATTCCAGAACTCTGAAGGGAGTTCAGCAAATGTTCGGTACAGTCTCCAGCTGACGATTAGTGTACGGTGAAGTGAATCCTGTTACTTAAGAAAAGGTAGTACCGTAACCAGTGCAATAAACCTTCCCTTATTTTAGTCGTCAAAGTTCTTCGATGTTCTAATTCCAGGTGTTGGCATTGAGTTTACGAAGCCCTCCCTCTATTTGTTGTTTCAGCTTATGCACATCGGATTTTACCCCAACTCGAAGTACACAAAGATAAAAAGCTGGAGCAGGTATGTCGTACAGCCGTACCTAGAACTAGAAAAAAACCGTGCGAATAATTTGAAAAAATTTACCAACTGCAGACTCGAATCTGAGTTCCAAGGCAAGATTTCAAAGAACTCATGCTCTATACTTCTGAAGAAGTTCCCCGGGCTAGCAAAATATAGTGAGTTTTTTTATTATTCGTGTATCATAGTGACATTAGTTGTATATGTGGATAAAGGTATTCGGGGTGCACTCTTGTGCACTCAGCGCTCCCAGCTTCTATCGCCGCTCGAATCACTTTCTTCTCGTGCGTGTTTGTTGGGGCTAAAATGAAGTTCGGCTAAGAACTGAAATCATATCTATTGCGCAAAAATAATAATCGCAATCATCAATGATAAATAACGCACAAAAACATTTATCAGTCATGCTAATCAGTAATGACCTGAACACTGTATCATAACAAATAGAATTGAGCATCTTTTGTGATGGAGTAAGGGATAGCATGGGAACACGTCGAGGCGAAAGACCTATACTAATAGTGAGGGAATTTCCAAGCTAGGTACATCGCCAATCATACATTATGGTCAGATTGAGAATGTTTGAATGGAAAATTTAGAAGCATTGCTTTAACATTATCCCAATTCAGAACTTTGCACCGCCTGAACCGACCAAGTTGTACTTCATGAAGATCAACTGTTCACGTGGCTTTAAAGGTCGATAAAGTTTACTTCATTGTTTTGTATCATCTATCGATGAATACTGCCTTAATTAATGAGATGAGAAAAGAGTGAAAGGTCTCTCAAAGGACAACAGCTAGACAGACAAAACTCGTTTAAATAAACGCTCCGGCAGTAGATGGAGCTGGGAACACCATGTTGGAGACCCATAATGATCGTCCTCAATGGCTGAGTTTCACAAAACCTAAATGCTTCAGGAAGGATCTCGATTTTAGAAAGCCACACACATAAACTACTCATAATAAAATACAAAGTTGAAAGTACTGTTGGAGGCATCAGGAGAAATTATATGAGAGAAATAGCTGGCCAGCACGGAAAAAGAACAAAGTAAATGGTGCGAGACAATGGGAATTGTATCCTGGAAAGAAGCTCCTCTAAGATAAATTGGAAGAGGGATATCGAGTAGGACCTGCATCTACCAAGCCACATTAGGAAAAAGTAGCACCGAATTATATCTATTATATTTCGGTTGGTCTTTCATTGAACACGAGAAACCTTCAAAAGACAGCTCCCGAAGGAAATGGTTCCCGAGATGTCCCTTAGGATGAGCTGTGGACTCAAGGTATACCATATGCGGAGCTGTCAGAACGGAAAACGACCTAGAGAGGGCATAACAGTTGTTTAAAAATTGTATCTGCTGTATTACACACACATAACACATGACACAAAAAACCTCTTGTTCAGGTTTTTGCATAATTCTTTGGATAGAGACCGTTCAATCCGCTATGAGGTTGCAAAACGCACCTCGGGTATGCACCTAATTCTAGAGCCTTTTATGATAGTGGGATAATGAAATTTACAGGAAGATGGATGTTATCATCTGCGTTGCAAGAGAAAACGATAAAATGGGAGTTAGAGATACGATCAAAACGGGTAGCTCCTGTTGTTTTGCCTTCCCAAACACGTATATGCCAATTAGTTAAATGGAATTAGAGTGGAGTGTCCCAACCAGATCAAATGAGGAAGCTTCTTCTTTGTACCACCCCTTCCTCTCGAACAGGCGCCATCCATTCTGGAAATTCTGACTTCGCGAACTGTAGTTCTGTGCAAATTTTCAGAAGCCTCCTTGATTATTCGAGAATCTAGGGTCTTTTTTATGAATCATATTCCAACTTCTTACCAATTTCGGAGGCTAAGCTAAGCCGTGGATAGAGATTAACGGTTAGTCGGGCATAGAATATACTCCATACCAGCTTAGCAGTTCCGACTATTGAAGGAAGTCTTCTCTCCGGAAGAAGATCGCTGTGACGGGACGATGCTTCCACTTCTTACAGCGCTGCTTAAGCAGCATTGATCCCAATGTCGCTGCGATGCAGTCGCTGTTTCAGAGTTCGGACTCAGTTACGCACCCAGTCAATCGCTCTGACATGATACACTGCATAAAAAGTGGAAAACTTGCAGACACCTCACGATCGAAGGCAAAAATGGACTCGCTCTCCGATAGCGCTCAGTGTCCCACCATGTACCACGCCTCAGAAGCCTAATGCTGTTGTTGATGCGATGTTCTGCCTATCCCCGACAGCGCTCTTTCCAGAGCTCCGACGAAACATAAGGGTACGTGTCCCACCAGCGTTTTTAAGCGTTGCGCAGAGGAGGGGTCTCAAAGAATTAAGAGATCTATCGCAGTCGGGTACTGTGAAAATTAGCGTAAGTGAGAGGAGGGAAGCTCGTGGTGCTATTGCTGGATAAGAAAAGGAAGCGACTGAACCTCCAAGATCACTCCACATACAGTTCTTCACCCACAGATAATTTCACGAGGCAGTTGGAACAAGGCGTGGACGGAGATAGATGGTCAACATGGCAAATTTGCTATGGACCGTGAATAACAAACTTAAATGTGACCTACCCACTTCCCCGTGTTGTACTTGCTTGACAAATTCGTAAACTTTTCCAGGAATGCGTGCACGTAGAAGACCCCACCAGGTTCGAAGTTTGACTTTTATAAGTTAGGTTTCGTGGCTCTACGTGTAGGTTTCTTGGTTCCTCAACCTAATCTTAGCACAAGGGTGAGACTTGTCCCAGCACACTTACCAAACTCCGATGGGTTCCTTAATATACTTGGTTAAGCCAGGTTAGGAGTGTTGAATA